AGGGAAAGACAATTTCAAGCCAAGGTACTTTTAGTCAATACAAATCATACTAATGACATGAGTTATAAGAACACCTCTCCCAAAGCAGTCTAAGTAGACCTCTGAATCTTAATCAGGTCATTATTATTATTTATACCGCAAAGTTTCCTCTGTCGCTAGTTGTGATTATTCTGTATACTTTCTCTAATTAAGATTATCTCATTAAGATTAAACAAATTCAGTGATTTGAAAGCCTGTTGTTTGATCATGCTTAACATTAAACAAAACTAACATGGAAACACTGCTCATTGTATCATTGCAACAGTTAATGCACAATAAATTTATTTGCTCATCCTTATTAAATAATGAAGCAGAAATAGCTTAACCTCACCTGGAAAAGCCTCTGAAAATCTTCCCAGAGGTGTGACATCATGCTCAGGGCTTCCACCTCCATGCTGGAGGAAGGAAGATGGTCACTGCTGCCGGAGGCGCACACTGCCGCTCATGCAAGCACTTTTCTTTCTGTGAATTTCTTCAGAACTAGCCTCTTTAATTGGGCGTGCTTAAAATCCCTTACTAAACAGCAATTCTGTATTCCATTTTTATCAACAGATTGGTATATTTATCTCTTACCCACCTGGATTTTTTCTGACTTACATATTTCTTGTTTAAAAAAATGTAAAACAAGCTGCTTCCCGGCTGCTGTTGCTGAGACTGCCAGTACTGGTCCTGGAGCCCTTGAGGTTGTTTCTGACACCCTCCAAAAACCGTCCAGGTCTCTGGGCATCCCCTCACGCTGCCCACCAAGGAAGTGTCAGAGTCGAGTCCTCCACAGCAATCTGTGATCTGGAGATTTCCGTGCCCATTTGCTCATCACCACGAGGCACATTGAGGCAGCCGCCTCACATCACGGGTGGCTCTTCCTGCCCATGTCTCTGCCACGGTCCCCGGCCACGGGAGCGCTCCCAGCACACACACCTCGCTCACGCTGTGCCTGTGGGTCAAGCACTCACTGCCTTCTTTTTCCCCCCCAATCGTCTGCATTTTTTCCCCTGGCTCTGGCACTGGAGCTGGGCCTTCTCCAGCACGTGGCATCCTTCACAAGGCTGCTCCCACTCCCATCACCACGTCCCAGCACTTGTATCACTGACCTAAAGTTTTCTCACTTAACCAGCAATCACAGTAGGGACAGAAAGTCTTCTTCCTGTACCAAAACTTCTGCCTGTACCAAAAGTACTAAATTCTGCTATTTCAAGACTACTGATTTGCACTTCAATTAAGTGAACCACAATTTTTTATTAGAATAAACTTTTATTTACTGCTTTCAGGATCCTTATTTTATACTTTGAAGTATGCAACAAATACTGCTACATTCAAATCTATACAGATTTACTGATATATTGTTCCATGTTTTACAAAACTGCATATAGATTCAGGAATTTCGTATAAGTTACCTTTATTTACATGTAATATTCTCAGCCCTAAAGATCTAGTCAAATGATAAAACAAATTGGGATTTTAAACACCCCTTTAAGACCCATTACATTTGTTACATAATTTACATATCTTTAGAGATGTGCTACACTTCCTTCTTGCATATTTATAAAGACTGTGATCAAACAGAAAGCTGCTGGCCAAAGCTAGGTACTGTCACTTCCTAAGATCATACTGGTAACAAAATGTTCAAATTAAAACAAGTCAGATATATGAACCAGTACTTTTTTCTTAGAACTGGATTTGATAATCATTTTAACCAGCACTTGCTCAAACAGAGTGCTAACATTAATACAAAAGATACCCACATTTACAAAAGAAATCCAACTAATATTTATATGAAGAGCTCATCTACAATAAATTGCACATTGTTGGTTATGACTTTGGTTATACTGTATTAACAAATTTGGTTTCTAGACTAACAGTGGAGAAAAAAATATAAAAATATAGAAACTAGCATAACCTGTAAACATATTACAGGACCAAATTTTGCCTCTGGTTACATGTGCATGACTTCCACAGAGTTCACAGAAGTCTGCACACATCAGACCACTGAATTTGGCCCAGAAAACCCTGTAAACATGTTCTTTATTGTTACATAGTGCAATCCTGCAAGAATGGATAATAAAGGCCTCCAACTACCAGTAACTAATACTCTGTGATATTCATATAAACTTTGCTTCAAGATTGTTGCAAAAGGCGGAATTGAAAATTGTTAAACTACAAATTTATCAAAAAAGAGATGAACACTCAATAAACCAATGAAAGTATACAAATTCAGACTCCAAAAAAGATATAATTTCTCATTACAACTCAGAACTATGCTGCTTGAGTGTCTTATACAAAAGTTCTGTTTTTGTTGTACTGTTTTAACAAAAGTCAGAAACAAAAAATCTAAGAGATAAAAGGTATGAGCAAGCCAATGTTCTGCAAACTAATCAGCTGATAATGCAAACAAATGTTTTCCAATGTTTTACCTAATATGCTGAAGTATAAGGTGCTTTGGGCAGATCTGTAGCAAACAGCCTGAAGCAGCACAGACTACAATATTGCATTACATGGATTTTATTTTTTTCAAAATATTTTTTAACCATTTTGGCCGTTCCTCCTGAAGCAGTGATTCAAATTTACATTCTCTGCATTTTTTTTTTCCCCTCACAGTTTTACTTCAGTAGTTTACTGTAGGACAATCTGGCAAACGTTATAGAAGAGGCAACTGCTTAAAGACATTTTAGTATTAGACCTTTACTTGGCACTGGTCTATCCAATGTATATATGGTGGTTATTAGCAAAGTACACAAAACTGTGGAAATGGCAAAAGTTAGTGATTTTTTAATACTTACTTATTTTACAAGTGATAATACAAAGGATTTAATAGCCAAGTGACTAAATACAATGGTAGTTCCTGGAAATTTCAAATTTGCTTGTAAACCCTTAACATGAAAATGCAGCACTGGACCAATATAGTTTATGCCTGTGGCCTAGTCAACCCCATCAAAACCCTGAGTATTTTCAATCGCTAGAAGTAGTTTGTCCCATAAGTCTTCAAATGACTCATATGGAGGCAAATCCAAACGATTAAAGCTGAAAAACAGAAGAAAACCCTTAAGTATTTGCTCACTGTTACTTAAGCACATCGTTTGCATAAATACTCACCAGGTATGAGCTCTGGGAAGTTTTTCAGGGGTACCCCACTGTTCAACTGTAAACAACTGCGGTCCATTTGAACCTGCAGGGAAAAATATGTTAATTTTCTCCCCATTATATGATTCTTTTCTCTATCATTAGCAATTTAAGTTAGAAGATACATGTTTTTTTGCCATCCATTTTTGACATAAGTAGGAGCTGTCTACATGAACTGAATAAAGTTCAAGTTCACTAATGGCCAGGAATTCCAATTCACTGGTATTTCGTTTCTTGCTACCTCTTAATTTTAAGAAATTTTTATACCTCGAACAGAAATCTGAGACCTAAATGCATATGTAAAATAAGAGACATAGCAAACAGATGCAGAACATATATTCAAACCTTAAACAGTTTAAAACCGTATATTTAGAAATAGTTATATATTATATAACCAGTAGTTAATTATTCTGTGCATACCTTTGCCTAGACAATAACAGAATAAAGTACCTGAGAACATGTGAGATGCAGGGACTGTGTCTCACACACGCATGCGAGTCAGAACTTCTTGGCTAGCAGATGCAGCTTCGCCCACACCTATGTCTTTAGTAACGGTCTTATAGAATGCAATATTTGACATTTTTTTAAATCTCTCTCAACTCTCCCCAAGCAGATCCAAAGGACATTTTGTAATCATTTGCTTAAGCTATTTAAAGCATTTGTGAATTTCTGGCGATGATTGTGTGGAAAAAATTCCCCAAAGATGAACATGAAACAAGAGGAGAAAATACTCCCACAAGTATTAACAGACACAAAGAGGCAGGGGATACCTATGAGCAGAAGCTTTACTCTTTACAAACGCAGGGTATGAGACAGAGACAAGGGCAGACACCAAGTGCTTCATGCTGTGACACAAGCAGTGGTAAGGCCATGTCAGCAGTAGTGGAAACACTTCCACCTCCTCGCCTTTACTTTCTTCCTTGGGTAATATACTTCTTCAGTACAGAAAATTGATTAGAAAAGTCTACTAGAAAGAGTGCTTGGACAAAAGATGAGGCAGAGGAGCAACTCTGCTACCAACGTGCAGTTCTTCTGCAATGTTGCAAGAAGACAAAACTTGCTCTTAATAGCTAAGTGCAAGTCTGCAGTCTAGACCTCCAGGCAACTAAGCAGAGGCTGATATGGGCAATAAAAAAAAAGCCTCCCTATTTAGTGTCCTAATTTTCAGATTTAAACGGTTTCTCCTCTGGACACCAAAGACTCCCTTTTTATGAACAGAAATGCCTTGCTTGGCCACGGGAGGGAGATGTCCCACTACGAAGTGAGCTCCAAAGGAAGGGAGCAGCCACGCAGCACCCAAGAGCCACTTTCAGTTCTTCAAACACAAGCAGGTGCTGTAAACATGATTGTGACCATTCCTGGGCTGAGTGAGCTTAGTATGTTGGCCACAGTAAAGCACAAATAACTGTAAGAGAAAGAAACGAAGCACCATGGAAGGCAACTGCAAATCAAACTTTTTATTAGAGTGGATAGAACTACACAAAGTGATGGAAGGTAACTGCAAATCAAACTTTTTAGAGTGGATAGAACTACACAAAGTGGGACTCGTTCAGAATGTATCCTAATCCTTGGGTAACGGGAAGCTAAGCAGTTTTCCCTTCAACT